AGTCTTCCTCTTTTGCAATAGGTTCCTGATAACCCACTTAAAGATTGTCAACAACCATCATCACTTGTTCCAGGTGTTCACACAAGAAAGGTTAGAGAAAATTTCATTAAAATTTTGAATTTTATTTTAATTGCGTAAATCCTAACATTTTTATGATCACGAGATCAACTAATTCTTCTTTCTTGTTTAATATGGATTAATCGACAAGCTGTTAATTGCGCGTCATGTACACATAACCAGTCTAAGTAATCATTTTTTTCTTTTGGTTCTGGTTGTTGTTGTTGTTTTTCAGTTGGTATAGTGAAATTATAAACTGTGTTAATTTATCATATTATTGTCAACTGGTCTAATGATCATTGTAGTCTTGATCCGTATATTAGTTATCTATTTAGTTGCATCACTACCCTTGCAATGATCGAGCTACATGTAAGTTCATACATGAATAATATTTCATTAGGATCAGATAAGTATGTATAGTTATAACCATTCCAAGATGTGTCACGAGATGGTGCATTAGGAAAGACTCGGACATTCCATGGTCCAGCTCTGTAGAATTCAATGAAACCATTCATAATGAATGTTTGCAGGAATCCACCAGTATCGAATGTCCAGGTAAACTCACCTATGGAAGGATCATTTGTGCTTTTCCATGACGAAAGGGAATGATGAAAACTAGTTTTCAGATTAATCCCAACCTTCATTCCAGGTAAAGTTGTGTCACCTGGATTGTCAAAACTTTGCCACAGGTAGTTCTGAGGCTTATCCTCGGCTGCATCTCGAACAACAAGATTGCCTGAATCAAGGAGTTGTGCTACTTGATTTTGCCCATGTCTAGTGGAATCGGAGGACCAAATTACTCTGCCAGAACCATTTAGAAGAGTAAGAATTCATTGTCTGGTAAAATTTAGCTCACTGGATGTGTCATTGAGTGGATTTTCTCCATTACAGGTTAGAACTTGAGACTAAATGAGTTATACGAAGATTTTAGTACTACAACAACTACTACATCTCAATCCCAAGCAAGTTGTAGTAGGTGGATGGCTAGCTAAAACTAGTCATTTTATGATGAATCCTCGGAATACTCATATAAAGATGTTAATTCACTAAAATGTACCTGGGAGGAAATGATTATAACTGCTGTGACCAGCATGAAGTCTTGCCAACACACCGATCAACGGAGCATTGTTGTAAGTGGCAGGCTCAGTTTGCTCATAGTTATCTCTTTGATCAGTGAAGTTGTCATAGGCATCAGGTCCACCAATAAGAGCACCAGTAAGGAGATTAGGATCACTCGCCTTTCTACTATACCAGGTAGGATAGCCTGCCCGACAGCTAACAAAACTAGGATTAACCTTAAACGAGACAATGGAGGAGGCTCTATGGTGTACTTGCCTTGGGTTATTGTTTCCATATCCTAACATGTAACTTGTTGCTCTCGGGTTGTCACCAAGAATGTAGTCCACCTGGAACAACATCAAACATGATGATTAGTTCACCAAGAACACATAGTTCCATGCTTCAATTTATGATGAATCGTCATAATAAAGGCTTGTAGCACTCTATCAAAGTTAAAATCTTTACCTGAGACTTAGAGAATGAGAGAAGTTCATTCAGAGAAACAGAACCAGAAGAACACTTGAGGTATTTACCAGCAGAGGCCAAATAGTCAGAATAGGTAGTGCCAAGGAATGCAGCACTAGTAACAAAATACATATTGTTCCATCTTTGCCTATAGATGAGACCTCCAGGAGTTTTCTGGGTATTTCTGTCACCCTTTGCAAGACATGAACACATAAAGTTCTTTGCTTTCTGCTGGTACTTCTCAAATACAGGTGCATTATGACCAGCTTCACTAGACATCAAGAACTGCCAACACATAATACCAATTATTTTATCATTGCGACTTCTGATAAGATAATTGTTCATTTCTAGTATGTTTTAATGTTATTTCTGTGTATATATGGAGTTTTACTGTTTGTACAAGTTTATGTAGTATTATTTGGGTGGCATTGAGTCATCTTCCTTCAACAGCATTTCTGGAGTACGCGTGAAATCAATCTCTGACTTTTGACGCCTTCTCACTAATTTCTCAAACCATCTATCCGAACCATAGTCTCTGGTGTCCTGTGTTGATATATGATTTGCAGGAACTCCATTCTCTGACATATAACCATTAGCTACACTTTTAGATTTTCTCTTAAGACTAATACCTCATCAGTATTACAAGTCTGATCCTCTTGCTCTATGTCTTGTTGTATTTCTATAGATAATAAGGTATCGAATTGAGTTTCCTCTGTACTTGTTGGACCACCAAATATCTCCCCATATTTGGCATTGGCATCAACATCACCTCCACAACCATCGCAAACACACAACTTGTGATTTCAGCAACACCACCTCTTCGTCTTGCAATCTGGCTCATCCAATTCACTTCAGTTTCCCAGTCTTGTATTTCTCTTCTGTGCCCCAACCATTGTAGCATACAATTCCATATCTTCTTGGTCACACTACATTCAAAGAATAAATGTGAAAATGTTTCTAAGTGTTGGCAACAAAAGACACAATCAGGGAGGACAGTGATTCCAAATTTCTGCAATCTCTCAACTGTTGCTAGTCGTTTCTGTATAGCCAACCATAGAATGAATTTATATCTAGGATGTATCTTTGTATGTAAATCAAGATGTTTCCAGGCTACTTTGGGATGAACAGGCATTATATTTACATACATCTTCCGGATTGAAAATCTATCCCTAAGTTGGGATTTAACAAGTTGTTGTTGAATTGTCCCATGACTTCCTAGTCTGTTTATTAACTGATCTCTAGATTCCAGTACCTTCCTCACAACCCTGGAAGGTATCTTTGTCTGTTTGTATCTTTGTCCCAACACCAGATGTTTGTTTTGTTGAAGCAATCATATATCTTCCTTTTTTTATTTTCCTTCTGAAAAAATTGGCAACACTTATGTATTCAATGAAATGTTAAGTTTTGTATTTTGTAAAGTATCAAAATAATCAATTTAATGTTTTTTCTCATTGGAACTACCGTAATTGGCACAAATAAAAAGAAGTGGGTATGTTTGAAAAAACTACAAGATCTTTCTTTTCTTTCAAAAGGAGGAAAATTTCATGTATATAATTACAACTTTCGCATCAATTCCTTAATATGTCTTTTTTTAGAAAAATTCAATTAGTCATTTTTGATATCTCAATTTTTTCTAGTTAACTAGGATCTTATTTCTATTATTATATAGTTATAAATTTTCTTATGTGCATTTCTTGTGCAGAATTTTCAAGGAAATTGAGGTCAAGTATCGACTTCAACTTGCTCGACTTTCGGGTTGATGATTTTATAAAGATTTATTGCAAATTTATTGGAGATTTTATTTTCATTTGAATTAGGAGTTAATTAGTTGGTTTTATGTTGAGATTATTACATTTAGTTAGATTTCAATTTTACTTGAGATAGAAAAGATAATTTGTATTGACATTGTTTTCTTTTACAGAAAACTTATTATATTGCTATTTTGTTCTTTGATTATAATATTAGAAAATATTTACTTTATATAATATTTCTTGCTTATCATGAAGAAGATAGTTTTGAATGCATAGATTGTTTGTATGTATTTGTGTCTTGAGAAAAACTATATATAGATTTTTCTTGGATGTTGAAGTAACTTGGTAGCGACATTAGAATATTAATATGACATTTAGCAAAATATAAAATAATGTCACCAATTTTTATGACATTCAATAATAGCATTTGTTGACATTAACTAAAGTGTCAGAAATTTCAATGTGACATTTAATGTCACAAGTAAGTGTCTTGAAATTTGTTTTACCAACATTTAATCTAAATGTCAGAAAGTGTAAGTGACATTTCATAAATGTCGAAAAAATAAATGTCATATATCTCATTTCGACATTTCCTTAAATGTCAAAAATAAATGTCATATATTTCATACCGACATTTACGTAAATGTCAAAAATAAATGTCATATATCTCATACCAACATTTACCTAATTATCAAAAATAAATGTCATATATATCTCATACCGATATTTACCTAAATGTCGAAAATAAATGTCATATATCTCATACTGACATTTACCTAAATGTCGAAAATAAATGTCATATATATCATACTGACATTTACCTAAATGTCAAAAATAAATGTCATATATTTCTTATCGACATTCACATAAATGTCAAAAAATAAATGTCATATATCTCATACTGACATTTACCTAAATGTCGAAAATAAATGTCATATATCTCATACTGACATTCACCTAAATGTCAAAAATAAATGTCATATATTTCTTATCGACATTCACATAAATGTCAAAAAATAAATGTCGTAATAATCTTACCAACATTTACATATATGTTGCAAAGGAAATGACGCAAATTCTTCTCAACATTTACCTAAATGTCACAAAATAAATGTCACAAATTCTTCCCGACAATTACCTAAATGTCGGAAAAATTCTCGACACTAAAATTTACGACATTTGGTCCAAATGTAAAATAAATGTCAGTAAACAAATTTGTGACATTTAAACATCATAATACGACATTTAGAAAATGTCATTGTATCTCCACTTTCTTGTAGTGAAGTTAAGAAAAGCTCTTTATGGGCTAAAGCAAGCTCAACGTGCATGGTATAGCAAAATTGACTCATTCTTTCAAGGTAGCAGATTCACAAGAAGTGACAACGAACCCACTTTGTACTTGAAGAAACAAGATACTGATGATTTTTTTTATGGCCCGTCTCTGCGTTAATGATATGATTTATATTGGTTCCTTAACATCTTTAGTTAATGATTTCAAGTCCAGTATGATGACAAACTTTGATTTGTCTAGCTTGGGCTTACTGAAATATTTCTTGGGGCTTGAGGTGATCCAAGATAAAGATGGAATTTTTAGTTTTCAAAAGAAATATGCAGAGGATTTTTTGAAAAAAACTCCATATGATGAACTATGAAGCAGTAGCTACACCGATGAATATCAATGAAAAGTTACAGCGTGCAGATGGAACTGATAAAGAAAGTCTGAAATTGTTTAGAAGTTTAGTTGGTGGCTTGAATTATCTAACGCACACTAGACCTGACATTGTCTTTTATGTTAGTGTTGTGTCCAGATTCCTTCAAAGTCCCACAAAGCAATATTTTGGTATTGTGAAACAAATTCTTCGTTATGTTGCTCGAACAACAAACTTTGGTATTTGGTATTCTAAAGAACCAAATTTCATATTGGTTGGCTTTATTGACAGTGATTATGCAGGTTGTTTGGATGATCGTAAAAGCACTTCCGAAAGTTGTTTCAGCTTTGATTCTAGAGCTCTAACATGGAGTTCAAAGAAGAAGGAGACAATAGCTTTGTCGACATCTGAGGCAAAGTATGTGATTGAGGGTTATGGTAATTATGGTTGAAACGGTGGTTGTGGATGATGAGTGAAAGTAGACTGAACAGCCGTGAACTCACATCTTTGTTCAAATTCTTAAATAGACTTCAAAATAATATTAAAACTTTGTTGTAGATATTAATTAATCATAGATCTGAATGATTAAGATTTAGACAGTTAAAACAAATACACTTAATGACTGAAATATCAATGATTAAGATAAAGACTTTCATTAAGTGAAAATAAATGAGGCCTTAGTATAATATGATAAAAACTAGATCTAGGTAACTTGCCAAGTGGATTTTCTTTTAAGAAAAGTCCTTTATTATGCTTCGTTCTTCTTTCTCTTATGTTACATAATTCTGCTGAATTTTCATGGATGACTTTTGTTGTGTCCTTAGATTCTTTAATCAACCATTTTAGTTGTGAACATAGAGATGACAATGCGGTGGGATAGGTGTAGTGAGTTCAACACTAAGAAATTTAAAGACCAAACTCATCATATTTAAATTCTAGATTTGCCTCTTCTTATAATGGCAGACAATGTTTGTTTGCAAATTTGATCAGTAAGATTCCAATAATAGGTTTTAATAAGGGAAAATTTTCAAAATGTCAATATTTTGACATTTAATAGGATCCCTTAGCCATACTTTCAATATTTATTTAAAATATCAATATTTTAGTTTGTTATGTATCTGATTTATGTATTTTCTTATTTGTTTGATTTGCAAGAATACAATTTTTAATAACATAAAGGAGAAAATCAAGGGATAATATTTTTAAAAAGGGAACATACCACTTAAAATTCTCATCAATTACAATTTCAAAGAAATCAACTTTCTTTTCATTATGTTTTTCGTAATTGTATACCTATAATTTTTACATTTTATGTGCTGATTTTACCATTCAAATTAAAATTGATATTTTACTTTCATAGTGAAAACTAAAAATTGTATCCCAGTGATCAAAATTGTATTACATGATTGTCAAATATATTTTTCTTTTATTTGTATTACAAACAAATATTACTGATTGTATCCCAATATAATTAATCATTACATATGAATATGATTTATGAAATGATACAAGATTCTGGAAAAAAATAGCATATATGGTGGAAATAATACAATCTGTTGAGGAAGAATACAATATTCTAAAAAATATATAAATTGACTATGGAAGAAATAGAGATACAAGCTTCTGGAAAAAAATAGCATACATAGAGAAAATAATACAATATGTTGAGGAAGGATACAATATTCTAAAAAAAATATAAATTGACTGTGAAAAAATTAGAATACATCTATGCTTAAGAAATATAAATCAGTTTGACATACCTATTTGAATGACTTCAAACTAAAAAAGAAATACAATGTTCTTAATAAAAATACAAATGATGAGTAAAAGAAAAACAATTGACAAACAAAAATTAATATGAATACAATCCTGGTATGAATACAACTCAACTTTCTTCTCTCACTCTCTCTTTCACTTTCTTCTTCTTCTTCATCTGCTATGTTGTTTTTTTTATTGTTTTTTTTCACCAAACCTAAATTCAAATCTATATTCACTTGTGCATATATTAGTAACCCTATAAACAAAATTCAGAATTATTAATTGTGAATGTATAAAAAATCAAACAATATATGATGTATGAATGCTAATGTAGATTACTACAATCTATTAAATCTCAAATATGAAAATAAAATCACAAAAAAATCGAACAATAGAGTTTAAAAGACAAAAATCCGAAATACATAAAACAGAGAAATCTCATAAAATACTTGGTGAATATGAAAACCTCACAAAAAAATCAAACAATATTGTTTAAAGACGAAAAATCGGAAATACAAAATACTTGGTAATTATGAAAACAAAATCACAAGACATCTCACAAAATACTTGTTGACTTCGAATTTATTTTTATCAATGGTTGAAAAATCTTTTGAATTAATTGTGAGATTTTTTTAACAAAGTGTAGAAAATTGGAAGAGTTGATTTTCTTGAACAAGGAAAGGAGATAACAATGGTGAAAAAGAGAAGAGAGAGAAAGGAGCAATTTGGGATAAAACCTAGAAAGAGGAGTAAGTGGGTAATGGGGGTATTTTTATTTTTATTTTTTATGGGATGAGGGAGTAAAAAAAGGGTCTAATTTGAGCCTGATTTGAGAAATAAAATGAAAAGAAAATTCTAAGTGGCTTGTGTAGGGCCTCTCAGGGTCTTATACGTCATGTCACCTCTAGGATGTACTTTGGGTCGTGACACTTATAAAAATATGAGTTCTTGACTGGTCAACAATCCATCTCATACAACAAGAATGTCTAATCATCACTCAGTAGAACTTACTTTTAAGTTTGTGGTATCTTTTTATCACACAATACTCCAAAAGAAAGCTTTCATTTAATCCATGATGCTTTAATGCTATGTGTGACATCATCATCGATGTTCTCATTACCCTAGATTATGGACCTAAGATACTTGATTTTTTCTCTCTTGAGAAGTCTATGTGGAAAGTCTTACTTCCACATCCGCTTCATGTAATGCAACACTAAATTCACACTTCAAATATTTTATTTTGGTCCTACTCAACCTGAATCCTTTGGACTCCAGAGTCTGTCTCTGAACCTCCAATCTAACATTAACATCAATCAGTACTATGTCGTCTACAAATAACATACACTATAGAACCTCCTCATGAATAAACCGCATCAACTCATCATCACCAAGACAAATAGAAAAGAGCTAAGAACTTATCCCTGCACCAAGATAAAAGAAGAATAAAGTTGTTCACGTGTACACCAAGATTTATTGAAGAAGTATGACACTAGATAATTCAATTCAACAATGAACTTAAAATCTATACAAAGAAAGTTACCATAAAACATGCACATGAAACAAACCTCAAATAAGGAGAACAAGAAATTTGTATGCGTGAAGAAGAAGACCAAGTAAAATTAGGGTAGAAGTTATAGTCAGACTTGAATCAATTCTAAGTTGAATTGGAGAGATGGAAGGCATGTACTTGCTCCTATAACTACAACACAACATATAAATTGAAGGTTGGACAGTACCCCAAAGGCATATCCCTTAACTTCTTGTGATTAATTATTTTTTAGGGCGGATTTTTTAAATATACAAATTAACAACTGTATTTACACCAACATAGCAATACTTTTTTTTTCAATTATATAGCAATACTTTTTTTTTCAAAAGTAGAATTTAAAAAATTCCAAATCAGCCATGCTTATCCCAATTCCCATAAATTTCTCCAATAATTTTACCTTCCCTAATTTATTCAAATATGCTATATATTATCTCCCATAAATAGAGGTTTCCTACCAAAACATAACTCCTTTCTCTGATTTAAAAAATCGGCCAAAGAACGATTATTGAAAAAAATGCATACCAATAATTTCTCAATTCTAATTCAACACAACGGGCAATGGGACTCATTAGGTAATTATATAAAAAATAATTCTCATGATTTTTTATTACGTGGTTGAATTTGATTTTTCACAAATATCTATTTTGTACTTTTTGGTAGTTATTCGTTTTGTTTATTTTGTCATTTTTGGTGTAAATTAATTCATACAATTTGGTTGATGTTCGGGATCATCGAAATTTTGGTGTAATTTCAACAATTTCATATGATTTTGTTGTACACTGATGAATCAAATTTGTTTTTTGTTAAAGTTTAGGTTTAATTGGTATGATGTGTGCCGTATGGTAGCAAATATTTTATATCAATAAGTTTGCGAGATGTATTTCTGTATTTGTTTAGGTATGTGATCTGGTATAATTGTTACTAATAGCTAACACCAAACAAATGGCCTGATGCATGATTTGGTGTATTGTTTGGTCAAATTTATATTATCTTACATATGAACATACGTATATTAAAATGAGTGTAGTAATAAATAATTTGGTGTAATTGGTGGTGTCAAAAACTACAAGTTTGACGATCTATGGTATATAATTAGAACCTTATAAATAAAAATATGGTACATATTTTAGTGTATTTTAAGTATGTGAATTGGTGTAAATAATAATGTGAAAAATAGTTCGTACATTTATTAATGGTAACCTGATAAAATCATAAATTTTAAAAATTGGTTTAAGGGTATGTAATCTTTGACTGTTTTTTTTTACGTTTATTACATGGTTAAAATATTGGTAAAATACTTTGGTATTTCTTTGACTGTTTTTTTAAGATCATTAAATGGTTAAAATTTTGGTAAAATACTTTGGTATTTCAATAAATGGCTTATATACCAACGAAAATCAATGTAAAAACAAAGCTAAATAAGTTGATGACTGTAGTAAGTAATTCTGAAAGTTCCTTTTAATATTAACAAAGAATTTGTTATTTTAAACAGGCAATTACGTGGATTACAATATTGAAGGAGCTATGTATGATCCAACCACCAAATACGAAGGCTTGATTACAGTTATATCTTCACAATTGGGAGTGGACACAACAATTTATCATTTGGAACTGAGGTATTTCGTGAGTGGTCCATCTCCACCAATGAAGATATATAACTATACGGGAGTGCAAGTTTATTTAGATCAAAAGAGATGCAATTCAGATTTCTTTTCTAAATATCCTTTATGTGTGACATGTGTGGACAAAGCTATGGAATCCATTGAGTACCAAACAAATGTCCAAACAACACGTCAACATATTTTGGGGATCCAACACACTATGTTTGACTAACATGGATCCAATTTTGGAAGGTTATATTGAAGAATCTGAAGGAACTGAAATAATTTCAAATCCTCAACACTATTTGGTGGCCGAGGATCAAGTTTATATAAACAAGCAAACTATATCAGAAGTTATGAAGCGATATGAATTTCTAAGAGAGTTTTGTTTTGTTGCAAAAAGATCAAGTCCTACCTAGTGAGTTATTATATATGTTGATTTTAAAAATTATCAATATGTTTTAACAACTTACCATGTATTAATATGCATGAGTTTTTGCAGTTACTATCTAAAGTGTGCTACAGAAAACTGTTCATGGGTTTTTAAATCCTCATGTTTGAATAATTCAAAGTTATTCAAAGTGAGGAAATTCTATGATACACATTCTTGTCCATTGAAGGACCAGATTCAATCAAAGCGACAATCAACAAGTGGTGTGCTTGGGGCAATGTTGGTTAAAAAGTATGTCGATCTGAAGACCGTTTACACACCAACAGACATACAAGCAAACATGCGTAGAAGTTTTGTATAAATGTATCGCCATGCTATTAAGTATTTTTATTTAAGTTCTTTTCTTTCTAAGAGGTGGAATAGAATAACCCGGTTGAAGCGTAATGATCATACGTCTGTAATGCATTGTTGCTAAGGATACATGGTATTTCATTGACATACATGCAAGCATGGAGAGGTAAAAAAAGCTTTCGAGACATTAAGAGGTGACCCTGCCGAATCATATGGAAAAATTCCAACATATCTATATATATTGGAGAAGACATATCCAGGGACAATTGTGAATTATAAAAAAACAGATGAAAATCATTTTTTATATTCATTTACAGCACTTGATGCAAATATAAGAGGCTGAGAGTATTGTCGACCAATAGTAGTCGTGGATGGTACACATTTAAAATCAACATACGAAGGCACAATGTTGATAGCTAGCACATTAGATCCAGGAGGTACTGTTTATACCATTACCGCAACTACATTGATTTGTTTTATATAAAATCAATATATGTTGTATTTATTTTGAAGATATTTGTTGTATAGGTCACATCTTGCCGCTTGCATACGGAATAGTTGATTCAGAAAATGATGATTCATGGTTATGGTTCTTTGAGAATTTTAAAAATTCATTCGGTGAAAGGGAAGATATGTGCTTTGTTTCTGATAGAAATAAGAGCATTTGGAATGCTACTGCAGTTGTTTATCCCGAATTCAGACATTACGCATGCATATACCATCTATGGACCAATTTACTAAAGAAAACATACAGAGATACAGAAGAGGTTAGAACATTATTCTTCAGTTTAGCAAAAGCTTACACTGTTCAAGAGTTTGATGAATTGATGAAAAGGATGGATCAAATTAATCCAAAATACTGTGCTTATCTACAAAAAGCAAATTATGAGAAATGGTCATGCGCACATTCACCAGTAAAAATTACTTGGACACTAACAAGTAACATTGCAGAGTCACTAAATAACGCTATTCTTGTTGGAAGAAGATTACCAGTGGTACCATTGTTGGAATTTGTTAGAAAAACAATTGAAGCTTGGAATGAGAAACACAACGAAGAAGGTAGAAATACTACAACAACCTTAACAAGTAAATACAATGAAATGTTGAAGGACAATAGAAATTTGTCTCATCGTATGCTTGTAAGTATTAACAATTCTCTACTATGCATAGTATGTTTTGGTTTTATTATTGATAATGCATGCTCTTAAATGAAGGTACGCGCATCAACAATACACCTTCATACCATTACAGATGGTGCAAAGAGGTTTACAGTAAGTCTGAATACACGAATGTGTAGTTGTGGAAAATTTCAACATGATGAGATCCCTTGTAGTCATGCACTTGCAGCAATCAGACATAGGAATAAACATCGCGATGATTACTATTCAGCTTATTATAGTAATAAGAATTATCAAGATACATATGCAATACCAATTGAACCCTTGCCTTGCGAAAGCACTTGGGATGTTCCATCACATGACTTGAAAGAGGTAGTATCACCACCAATTACAAGAAAGCAACCAGGCAGACCTCCAAAAAATGATCGCAAAAAGGGATTCACCGAAAGAGAGGGGAAGAAGAGGAAAGTAACCTGTAGTGAATGTGGTATAGTTGGGCATAACAAGAAGACTTGCCCAAAAAAAACTCATGATAATTAGCTTTGTGATATTTTTGTTGTTATTTTTACTTTGCAGTTATACAGTTGAACTATATTACTTTTATTAGATGTACTGTTTTTTTAATTTCATTACCTTATTTCAAAGTTGATTACTTTTTGTTATCTTATTCATATTTTTGAATACATAGTTGTTATAAATGGTTGTATATAGTAGATATCATGAACTCTTTTGGATTACGTGTTGTCACATATCTAGAAATATTGATAAAAAATGAACTTATTGGATGATATTCTGCTGTTGATTTGATATGGTAAATAAGCCAAATTCTTGGTAAAATTATGATAAATAAGAACAAATTTATGGTAAAAATAAAGGATCATAATAATTGTGTATATAGTAAAACAAATGTTTGCAGTTTACACCAACCTAAAACAATAAATTGAAAAGTATTAAATGTTAGTATATTAGTTTGGACACTACAATAATTAACACTCAATTACTGTAAAATTGGTTTACTCTTGTTACAACTGGTACATAGCTTGGTATAAATGATGGTATATATAAAAACCAAATGTCATAATGATGATGGTATCTTATCTTACATATGAACATACGTAAATTAAAATGAGTGCATTAATAAATTATTTGGTGTAATTGGTGGCGTAAAAAACTACAAGTTTGACGATCTATGGTATATAATTAGAACCTCGTAAATAAAAATATGGTACATATTTTAGTGTATTTTAAGTATGTGAATTGGTGTAAATAATAATATGAAAAATATTTCCTACATTTATTGATGATAACTTGATAAAATCATAAATTTTAAAAATTGGTTTAAGGGTATGTAATCTTTGACTGTTTTTTTTTAAGTTTATTAAATGGTTAAAATATTGATAAAATACTTTGGTATTTCTTTGACTGTTTTTTTTTAAGATCATTAAATGGTTAAATTTTTGGTAAAATACTTTGATATTTCAATAAATGGCTTATGACTACAATCTTGGTTAACACTGAAACCAAAAAAAAAACACACTATGTTAAAGAAAAAAATTGGTTTACATATGAAAGAAAAAAAGTACAAAACTGGGTAAACACATTGGTATGTATACCAATCTGCAACTTTGAAAGAAATCCAATCGATCATATACAAGCATTTAGTATAATTTTTCAATAATGATAAAACCCAATTTATACCAAACTCATACATGTACAAACCAAACTCACACTATAAATTTATCACAAAATTTAAGCAAAAAAACAACCAAATAAATGCATAATCACAGAATAAAGACAATATCCAACGAACTCAAGACCATAAACGCAACTAAAGTACTATCCAAAATTACAAAAGAGATTCAAAACCATAAAACATTCATGAAATTCTGTCTTAAGAAATGACACTTTTTACTCCTTGACCCTCCGATTTGACCGATCACCTTGGTTAGAAGTTTCATCTTCACTAACAGATTCAGTATCAATTTTCATCTTTCCATATTCCTACAGTAATGCTCCAAATCTCAACCGAAGATTTTTAGCATTTAAACCCGACATAGATACATTCCTATCTCCACGACACACATATTCAGCAAAAGCACAGGTATACAGACCACAATCCCTATATATATTACCCAAACAGCATAATTAGTACAATACATAGTAGAATCAACCACAAAAAAGCCACATTATACTTACGTTGAATTGTCGCATTGTTGTGGGATGTTTTCATGATTACCATATACCAACGGATCACCAACTGGCCTTCCAGCATAATGCACATCTGTATTCCAGTCAATGTCTTTCCTTATAGCTTAATAATCAGTAGCAACTAGGAACAAAGGTATCATTCTAGATATTTTTGAACCAAACTTGTTACTGCATTGGTATGTTTAACCCCATAACCATTTAAAGAATCATAAATATATAAACACTTTTTTTCTTATGGAAAAAACAACCAGAAACCAGTGGAATGCAGCACTACTATTGACTGGAATGCATACATGATCAACATCCGCCCATGGAGTATTAGCAAGAATCCTATCACCTATTATATATTGTGCAACCTCATGATGTATACTAATCAGACTTTAATCTTTGCCATTGGCCTCCCACGCATCATGAATTTGAACAACCCAACTGATGAAAAAAGGGTTAGTAGTAGTAACTCTTGCACTATTATCAGGACCATACTTGCAAAACTTGCGAAGATAATACATTATCACATCAACATGTTGCATATCAAGTTTTATTAGTTAGCACCAAACAACAAAATAATATCACAACTTGATTGAAAGAATCACCATTATCTGATTATTACCTATTAGACTAGATTTAAAATTATATGTTTGTGTCATTGTAACAATTAAACTATAATTAGGAGTCTATGTTTGTGTCAGTAGTTTATTTTCCTAACAAACATACCAAAAACAACTATCCCCATAGAACTAAATCACAGATTTCAGTGACTACAATGAAGCCAATTTTACTTACCAATCACTAAAAATCACAACAAAAAACAAATACCAAATCTTACTTTAATATAGAGTTACACCGTAAGAAATTACCAAATCTCTCCAAGGATGTCCTGGATAAGCCAAAGGGTGAAACCAATCCATCAAATCCACCCTACCAACACCAAACTCAAAAGGAGGATCGATTGGATTTGAAGCAGCAGTGAAGAAACTGGTTTTCCTATAAAACAAAATGAGTAGTTATAGCATATAAAGTGAATGAACAAATGGTAAAATACAATTACACAACAATACATACTTTCCACGTTTCTTGGATAATTTGCTATCAACCCATTTCTTAAAATGAAGGATAACTTCACTGTACATATCAAACCCCTTGTAATTTACAAAAGGATGCCTCCATAAACAGTACTTCACTGTGTTCACCGATGTGCCACCTGATTCACTTAAGTTTGTGTATGGTGATTGGGCATACTTTCCTGGAATCTTCGTACGAACATGTTGAACTGGTGAGATAAATGTGTCTTCACCCTCAATAACACCAAACTGATTGAACTTTGTTTTTTCAGCTTTAGCAACTTCCAAAGGTGTGACACAAATATTTTCAGATTCAACTTCTACCAATGATGACACGTATGTTTGTCCAGTTTCAAGAGCAACCAACTGTGATTCACGCATATTGGGCATAACAAAGCCATCCAATGTAGGAGTTTTTCTATTTATTTCAAAATCAACAGATACACCACCTATTAAGATATACAAACATCATTTATGTATCTATATTTTATGATATTTTAAACACAAATCAGAAATGAACTAAAAATAGTTATAAAAAATAGATTTAAGCTAACAAAAAAAGAACTTACAATTGTTATCAAAAACATGATTACGAAACGAAGATGGTGTTTGGACACCATCTTTATCTCCACAATCTTGCAAATGTTCATTTTGGACATCAACATTTCCTTTTCTTTGATCCTCAACAACAACCTTAATGTTCTCAATAAAAATAAAATTTTGAGTCATTCAACTATTACAATAAGATAACAATATAGCTAATTACGGATATGTAATCAACAAGAAGATTAATAATATTTAAAATCAACACAAAGTATACACATTAACATTTATAATAATCTTGATCTAAAAATTAGTTTATAAGTAAATAATAAGTCCATATATTAATAAGTAGACTAACCCGTTCACCACCTAAATCTTTGTTGGTTGAAACATCATTTTGAAGAGATTTCAACTCTTGAATGATATGTTTAAATGATGAATCCATAAAAGCCTTTATTTCAACAAACTTAGCATCTACATTTTTTTCAAACTTTTCCAACTCATTACAAACCTAACAAAAATTAAAATGACATTAATGTTTCTTCAACCAAAATTCTAACAGTAAGTAAATAAAATTTATAATCATACATTCACAACTTCTTGGGCAATTTTCTGCAAATCCTTATTAAATGACAAACTCGGATCACTTCCAACTTTTTGTGCAGAACTATGAGGCAAATCTTTGACATTCTGTCGAACGACAGAATGATTTGGCCCATCTTTCTTTCCTCCATGAGAAAACACTGCTCAGTGAGTTTTCCGACCTGAAATGCTGCGTAAAGTGTCTTTCTTGCTCGGTGATCCGTCAATGAAGTCATTCTGGATCCCTGACTCGTCTCATTCTGAGCCTTTCTGTAAATTCTCATTTTGCCTTACAGATCTATCACGTTTACTCTTCTTATTAAATGGAATATCAGTCAAAACAGTTAGATTTTCCGCCTCAATGATATCAAGCTCCTCATCCATGAACACAAGATCTTCAAATGTATACTAACACAATAATAATAAATTGTGAATATACACTACTCATAAAAAAGAAAATTAATTATAATAACAAAAGAACTTCTATTACCTGATTGCCGTATTTTCTGAACATTCCTTTCTGGAGATGGTCAAAATATATCTTGTTTTTGGATATATCCCAATTGAATATTCTAGGCGTTCGATTGGAATTACAAATTGCAATTGAACCATCAACTTTTTTACAACATTCATAAAATCAAATTTGCAACGCGAGCGAAAACCCTTCAAACTTCACATAATCCGAATCTTTTGCCATTTGACTCGATATAGAATGACGAAGATTAAAAAAGGAGAGATTGCCCCAAGGGTACGTAATGTACTGTCCCGACTCAACACATAAGAAGTGATCTTTTGGAATATGTGACAATTGTGGTGGAGATGACAATATGAATGTACTAATGAAATAAATCATAGACATATTAAAAGAGTCTTCTTCCTGAATCAACCCATCTTCTTTAAACACTCTTATGAAATCAGCTTTCAAAACCTTATCAACAGCATTTGGAAAGTAACGAGAAAGTAACTTTGATGTACTATTTTGATCATGATCAAAAATCATACACCCACCACACTTAAAACCAGTAATTACCAAAAATTCTCTAAGCCCAAAATGCATTTCTTTACCATTTATGTCAAACACAAACATGTCATCCCGATTGTTAGATAAATGATGAACAAGACTTCTAATAATCTGAGGTTGGACTTTCAATTGGGACAAGCCTAATAGATAACCAAAAGGAGACTCTTTAAACA